TCCAGACATTTCTGCGTGCCATTAGCAGGAAACGCGATATTAACCTGAACAGAAATACTTTAGTGGTTATATTGTTAAAGTAGCATACATTATATGGATAACTACCTAAAAACTTGATACTATGCATAATCGAAGAAAATCATAGGGAAACATTAGCCGACTGCTACCTTCATGGCAGACCAATTCCGCCCACGAGACAAAAAGTGGGACGCCTCCAGTTATTAAAACAATCAAGAATAATTATATGGGGACATTGACGTTTATGTTTATCTTATACATTGAGACTAATTTTAATGTTTTTGGTTTAGCTTAAAGCAACGTTTGATTCTACTCATGTAAAATTTCTTTTTACACAATTTGTATTTCACCTATTCTTCTTCAAAACCTTTTTTGACGTTTTGATCGTATTGTTTTTCACGAATCGCTTTGTTTGCTTTCAAGTGTAACCACAGTAGCGTCCCGAGGCTTCCCTTATTGAAGTAGAATGCATAACTGAGTTCGAATATATGTATTCCGGTGACGACAGGGCAAATGGGGCCTGAGTGTGGCCCGAAGGCCAGCCCACGTGCACAGGGGCCAGGTAGTCACATAAACGAAGCAGTATAATACCAGTGCATTTGATATCTGGTTCATCCTATATTGGGTGATGGAGAATGCAAAACCTTGCTCATTTTTGGATTTTTGTTGTCGGATCGGTTGCTCTAACGCTTTTACTGCCATAATGTTGTTAGCTTAACATAGTCCTTTAGTTTTTACTAGTTCTTCGATCCCAAAGATTGCTTAAAAATCTTTAAGTTATGGAAGAAATTCATATCCTTCTTAGCGAGAATTTTATAAGGCGTAGATAATTACTGTAGCGTTCCGAGATGTCCCATACGGTATAAGAAGGTAGCAAGTGAAACTGGATGCATGTATGTAACACTTTGTTTATGTGACTACTTTTCGTTGGGCTGCATTTACGGACTTCTTATGCCGGCTGGGAAATCTTGGAACGCTAGGCCGCTGGCAGCGGTAAGCGAACTCGACATTTTCTTTTTAAATACTTTTAGCCAAGGTGGGATCTCTCATCGTCTTGTTCTTAGTTGTTCGTTTGTTAAAAGCGACCTAGTGTCCGGGAAAATCTATTGCCCAACAGACATCGCTGTCTTACTGGCATCCTACGTTTGTGTTGCTAAACTTTGTCAATTAATCGACTAATTTTTGGAAAAGAACAGTACGAGCAAGTCGACGAGCAATGGTTCGCACACGATCTAGAGATGTATGTCGCTTGTTCTTGATGTTGATGCTCTGGGATTGTGTATCTATGAGCCTGATAATCTGTTGGACCCCAAAATCGGGTTTCCTTGGCTGGGAATTCGAAGCTTCTCTTTTCATGTCAAGAAGTTTTTTAGTCCAACTAGCAGGCAAGACTGCAGAGGAATTCGACTTTTAGTGGAGAATTCCAATATCAATAAGCGCATTTTGGCGTTGTGCACCGGCAATCATGAGCTATACATGCGTGAAAGGAAGTCTGACTCTATCGAAGTGCAATAGAGGAAGATACAGACGAAAAGGGACGTGAATTGAAGGATGCGCACTTACCTTGGTGGCGGGCGAATCTCCGAATCCTTCACAACGAAAGGATTTATATGGACGTCTGCATTTGGTTCCACCTTATTCCCGTGTATCAACAACCGAAGCGACACCGCCGTGAACCATTTGGAAAAGCTTCGTGACGAAACTTCCCATACTGAATCCGTGTTTAGGTGTCGGAAATGACACTACAGTTCTCCTCACATGCGGGACAGTGGCTCATCCCGTTTTCCCTGTAGCATATATTTTCTACCGTCTAGCTCTGGAATCTGGTTGTCAGAACGAACGTAACTTCAGACCCAGTTGAAGCTGCCGAGGAGATCAGGTATGGTTCCTCAGTCCCATGCTATTTGTCGACTGGGGCGGTTGGCTCGTGGATGCTTTCTTGTAGTGCCGAATATGTTGTGATGGCTGGCGTAGGAGGTGTACCAAAGGGGAACGCCGAAGTCGCCGTTCAAACGACGACAGGGGCAGTGTAATGCTTTGTTTATGTGGCTACCTGACGTTTGGCGGCCATTTTATGATTTGTCTGGTCCTTATACACGTGGACTGGCCTTCGGGCCATGCCTAGGTCCATTTGCCCTGTCGTCTTCGGACTACATGCATTCAGCTGCACTTATTGACTTCCTATACCGGCCAGGAAGTCTCAGGACTCGACAATTTATTCCAAATAGGACAAAGCAACTGAGCTTGAGCATGGCCCGAAGGCCATTCTATGTGTACAAGGGCTAGACAAATCCTAGTGACCACCAAACGTCAGGTGGTCACATAACCAAAGCATTACAATTACGTCTGTCTTAGGCAATGAACCTACTTTAGAAATCTGTGAGACTGCTAATAGCATATAATCCAACCCTCCGTACACATTATTAAGGAAAGTCTTAACGGGGTTGTCTATCGGGGTTGCATTACGATGGTCAATGGCACCGACGACTCTGTGATAGACCGCATAGAAGCTCACCCGAAAGGAGGACTGTCAAGTAGAGCTTTGATTATTTGCCTGACTTTAGTTTGGTCTTCCGGGTTCTCAGTACGGTGTTCAGCGTTTCGTTCCAGTCTTTCTGTTCATACTCTACTTCAAATTCCAAACAAACCCGTGAGTCTGCAGTACAAACTTCACACACATGAGTCCGCTCATTTTGCTGAAATAACAAATCACAAGACCAGCATTATATGTGGTAGTTGTGATCCTCTACCTTTCCATATTAGCATAGTTTTATTCATTCTTCGACTTTTAGGAGTCGAAGTGGGCAGAAGGTCGAGGTTGGATCATCAAGAGGTAGAGTGGCGCAGCAATAAGGGCACGCAAAGCCAAAACATAATTTAAATGAATAACCAGGACGTCATACGATGCAAAGTTTGGATTTCATGCACGTGCATTTGTTGATTTCAAAAGCTTGGTCTTGTAGTCTAGACGGCTGGTATTTTGCGTTAAAGTTCGGCCCCAGAGTCGTGACAATAGACTTCCGACACCGCGCCCTAGTGATAAATGTATTGTCATACTACTTCCTCTTTAAAAGGCCATTTGAGTAACTTGCAAATTGTACATTATGAAATCCGTACAATAGCTATCGTAGTGAAACCTGCTTGTCCCCTGATCGCCTCGTCGTTTAACCTTCCAAGATGATACATATTTAGAGTAAAGATTTCGTCTCAAACTGGTGGAATAGTTCCATAAGGGCACACCTAATTGTGATGAGTTATATATAACCACGAAAGAACTGCTTTGCAGAGAAGATAATCTATTAGTGAGATGACCTTCATCGTTCGAAGTTCTGGTAGCTTGTTCTAATCTCTCTGGCAGATAGAAGTGAGTTACAGGACTAGTAGATTTAATTTACCTCAGACTAAATGTGTTTGACATCACATACGTCTGGTGCTCTCACTCTGAGCATATTTCGAGGTCAAACACCGGTGGATATATGCGTTTTGACCTCAACAGTAAGGAGACGCTGTTTCAAGCAAAATTCCCGTACGTACCATCTAGTTCAGCATCGCAATCGCTATTACCAGCACTGCCAACAACGTAGACCCCTGTATACTCTCTAAAGTTGCTATGAACCACTAGAGAGGGGTAAAGCAGAAATCATAAACTTGTGGAACAGGCGGGTCTGGCCGTGGTTCTGAGCCTCTATCACAGAGGGGAAGCTAAATTTGTAGAGAGCATTATCAATGTCCTCTAGCATGCAAAACAGAACTGATGACTTGGACGAAAAGGGTGCGTCTTCTTCAAATATTGAGGAATGGATGTACCTATCCATTGCTCCTCAGTAGGCAATGATCTGGTCGAAAGTCAGATTACTCTTGCTTTCAGAGATCTAGCAGGTTGCGTAAATTGAATACCTTGATATTGTCCTGACTACTTCCGTTTGGTGACGCATTCCGATTCCAATGATGGACTGTTGCACCCACAGCAAAACCCTCAACACTTTCATGGACACAGAAATACATTTATGTACTTGATTAATAAACAACATCTAGATATACGCACTGAAAACAACGAAATCGCAATTAAAACCAGACTTTGTGGCATTAATTTGAGTTGAGGACGAAAAAAGAGTTGAGAAGGGAGTAGTTTGAGGTGAGTATAGTACAACAGCGATGCCGAACGGTGGCATGGAATCCCATACTCACAATAGAAGTGGAGCACGAAGATTTGCCGATCGAGCATGTATGGTGGTTAGAAACTTTGACAGCAGTTAACACGATGCGGTTGATGATAGTTGCATAAGGGCGAGATCGCCATCTTCATTTCTCAGGTCCGCGAAACCGTATTGGGTCGATCGGGAATACGAGGGGCCAGATTGTTTGCACGTCTAAAGGATCATTCTGTGCAAATTACGGTAGTTACATGGACATATCAAGTCTAAATCATGACGAAAAAGTGCCTACGTAATTCTACAAGAATTCAATATGAAACACTTTAATCCATTATGCGCAAGAGAGTTATTGCTCATGCACTTATTTTGATGAGCAATTACGAAAGAGTAATTCAAAAGAACAGGCAAGACAACAGCCTACATCGGAAAACACTGATGGAGAAGCAGATATGGAGACGGGAAAGGGGAATTACAGGAACCGTTTTGAAGGCGACGGCTATTAACAACAGCACCACTGATAATCCCATCATTCGGTAGACCGTTAGGCACCACCTTTGAGGGACCCAGAGGACTCAACCTACAACAAAAGTTGTACAACATTTGTACAAACAACGTCAGTTGCAACACATTCAATAACAAATGGCAAGTGACCGAATTTTTTGGACATCAGATTAGGTTTTATCCATACAAATGTTAAATGGGGATGCGAAAAAGCGCATGTTGCTAGAAATCACGCGCTAAATTATTGGAAACATGATGAATCACCAAAATACACTTTATTCCATATGTTGGAAAAAAAACAGTTGTGGCACAGCCATTTTAGATGTGCTAGATACGGGAGTCAATCGCCTAAGAACAGTTTCAAAAACGCTAATAGAAACGGAAAGGAAACATAGCCTAACCAAACCTTTGCAAATAACAGGAGTGGAAAGAACTGATAAGTATTCTATTGAATATTTAGAAGACTATGACTGGCAAGTTACGCTCGTAAATTATCAAATCACCTTGCTTTATTGCCTCTAAAAAAAAATTCACTTGAACCAGATTAAGGCCAGTGTTTCTTGCTAATTCTTCTAAAAGACGCCAAATACTGTTAGTGTAATAAACCCCGTTAGAAGATGCAGTTAGTTTTGCCTTACGATACACATTAGCAAAAAAAAATATATTATGGTCTTTTCAAGGCGTCTTTAAAGCAGAAGCTATAAATGAAAACGATAGACCGATGGGAAGAGTCATCGAAGAATACCAATAGCGACAATTGTGTGCATGCAATTTAAACAGCGATTACAGACGAAAGTTCACAGCACAAAACAGTGCGAACAAAGTAAGCAGACATCGTAAGACGAATGCGAATGCATGCAGAACATTGAAACTGGTGACTGTGAAAGACTCACTGAGGGATGAGAGGGGAGGGCAGATTGCCGCCAGAAGGCGCAACAAAACCAGGTCGTTGAGGAGAAGAAGTGGGACGGTGAGGAGCCCCTGGGGGTTGAGGAGGGGGACGCCGTGTACCTCCGGGACTTCGCGGTGGTTGCATCAGCCCCACACCGCCACCAGTCACGGCGCCGCTACCGCTACCCGCGCTTGTTGGGAATAGACTTGAGGGCAAGGAGCCAGAGTCAGTTAACTGTTAATGTAGAATAGGAGTGCCCTTATTTGACCATCAATTTCAGTTGTCAAAACAACTAGAACTATTTTAAAGGTGAGGGGAGAGATAAACGATAACTTACATGAGGGGTAGCGTTGTGCATCCAGTCATCCATAACAGGAGGAGGGACGGGTGTGGAGACGGTGTTTGTGGCCACCTCACCAACTATACGTAAGGCCTCCTTTAAAGCTTCGTACATCCTAAGAGTCTCCTCGCGTCTTGTCTGCATTTCTAAGGACTCTGACATCAGAACTTGCTGCAGACAGAAACCATCAACTTTATTAATGCAAGGGTGATGCAATTGCTTGGAAATGTGATAAAGATCAGTCACATTCAACCCCGAGGTCACCATAATAGAACGGCGCTCTTTTCGCAAAAAATTATTTGGTCTCCTAAAATTTCATACTGATTAGGAGAGCATTACCAAGCAGCTTTTGCAAATCAACTAGTCAACGTTAAAAATTTAAGTCTTCTATTCAAAAGGAACATTTATGCAAGCCTTTAATTTGAAAAATAAAGAAAAAGCACCGCTTGTAATGCCAAGGATATCATGGATCTTAACTCCTACACTAAATGCTGGTTCGATTGCAGAAGAGGCCACTAGCAACAGACCTGTCGCATTTATAGACAAGTGGCAAAATACTGGTGTCAACTTACAATATCTCCCGCCTGATAAAGATTTGGCAACAGTTCGCTTTTCAGGAATTCCTTCATCTGCAAATCAAATTAGTTATTTTAATGCACAACAAGAGAATTGAGAGCTAAAAACGCAGCAATGTACCTCTGCAATAAGGTGAACTTCACTTAACCATCTTCAACCTGGGTATATTTTATGGACATTTCCCAGTCACCCCCTTTATAATATGCGCATCTCTACGCCGAATCGTTTTCCATGTCATCACATCCAATTTTGAGGTTATGTTAAGCTTAAGCAAAAAAGTGACAGGGACCAGAAGCTGCACTGGCGGTGTCACAATTGCAGGCCGCGATGCAAAACGCTAAGAGTAAAAGGACACTACAACTTCTTTTCTGGCGCTAAGGTAAGCACTGCCTACCATTTTGCATTGACTACTTCAAAAATTTTGCACACTCACCTCGTTAACAATTATATGCATAATCATTTTTGGAACCAGATCACGCTGAGTTTTGTGAACAATCTTGAGATATGAATCCACAAGATTGTGGATAACTTCCACCTGTCTCTGTAGCTGAGGGTCACCATTATCCGTAAGTTGTTCATCCGATCGCTGTATGGAAAGCCACAACAGGAATATTTAAAGTAAGCGGTTAATTTCTTTCAACTATACCTGAAAAAGCGGGAGACATGAAATGAGGAAACCGTATCACACCCAATAGGCTTACAAACAGCGTGTTTTGCATGGAGAATTTGGCAAATTTGGTTCTATCAATGCTTCAGAAATGTGTCGCAAGTTAATTATTTCGATCATCAGATACTATAAGTGAAACCCGTCAGTTTTCCCATCGAAAGTCCCAAAAAGGCGCGCAATTTCACTTGTAGCTACATCATTTAGTGCATAAAATCCAGATACGACGCCTGAGCTTGGAGGATGGATTTGTATACATTACGATTTCATCGAAAGTACAGCTTTAAAAGTATTTTCTACAGTTTTAACCGAAACAAACCTAACAACTTTTCGAATCTATCAAATTATGACCTCAGCTATTACCAAACTGTCCTCCCATGGGAGCTATTTTGGACCAGCGGATGCCATGAAAAGAAACTTACCACGTATTCTTAGGTCCTTAACGGTAGGGAGGCTCTACCGCTATATGGAAACTAGATAGCCTTGTCTTATCAAATATCCAGCTCACAGGAATGCAAATGAACAAATTTTACTTCAGTTAGTAATGGAGGGAACATTTACTGCATTTCCAGTGTAAGGATTGGTATGCATTCAAATTTCAGGTAATTCCCCGTAGGACCTACCAAAACTTATCAGATAGTACCTCTGAGATTAAACGCAATTGAATGTTTTCAAAGTTAAAAAGCTAAATCCGATTTACGAGGATTGCAGACTGAAGCCGAATGGGTGGCACACACCTCTTGGTTTTGCTGCTGCTGAATGGGTTTCATTGGCTGAACACCAGCGCGCATGAAAGAGGCCTTCCAGGAGTCAACCATCTCAGCAGACTCTGCACTCAATTCCAGTTGCTTATAGTCCTTGTACACGTTCCTTCCATCGGGGTAGAAGAGCGCAAATACGTTCTTTTTGCCAAAGAAACTCGACTCAACATCCTTGACTTTCAGGCCGTCCAAGAGGAGAACGTAGCGTTTCTCCTTCTCCTACGAAAAATGCAGCACAACGAGGTCGCACCTACGAGTTACAACTCTCTATCCCACCTTATTCATTTCACTCATTTTTACTGCCCAAAAGCACGCTCTCGCGAAAATGCTAGGCAACGAATACATACTCGAGCAGGTACTCACATCGTCGTCTTTGTACCAAGTGAGGGTTTCCGCATTCAGGACGAACCAGAAGTCCTTACTGCCTCCACGTATGAGAGCGATATTTTGCAGGCTCAGCCAGCCCCGTCGAATTACCTGGTGGCAATGCATCAGACTGGATAAGAATTTTGCCTTTTTTACGATACGCAAACACCATTTTTGACTCTCATGAGAAGAGTAAAGAGATGGCCTATCAAAAATGTCATCCGTTTCGCGTACCAAAGCTCATTCACAGAAACTGTACCAAAAGGACTAAGAATGTTTGGCACAATCCAATTCTCCCGCCGATGTGGGCACAGTTACTAAAAGATTGTTCTAATTTTCATTGACAAGTTCAGGTACTAAAGCATTACCACTGATGGATCCGATGGATTAATAATTGCTGTAGTCGATGCACTACTTTGAAAAGGTTTACCATTCTTGCAGCTAATCCTACAATACCTTCAGCAACTCAGTATTTCATAGTAATGGCACACTAACTACTATCCTTGAAATGAAACAATAAGATTTACAAGGTGCCATGCTTGGGGACATCAAGCTATAGCTATCACTATTCAAATAAAAAAAGTAGAATTTATGGAACAAAGTTTAGATAAGCTTGTGAAATGCATGATAAAATTCAATAATAGGCAGTAGCAGTAGATGGGTGGTGAGCAACTTCATTTTTCGGGCTTCATTACTGTAATTTATGCAAGTCCTGCAAGTGAACAATATTTCAGCCTCACTTATTTGGACAAATACACATGGAAAAGGAGGTGACCATCGCCGGAAACGGTTTGTAAGTTGCCTTTTCAAGTAAATTTGCTCAAATACATCTTTCAGTTATTTCAAACTAAAGTAAAGTTTTAATCGTTTTATACCACACTGGAGCGATTACATGGCAAAACAATCTAGCATATGGATGAACCGTCTTTTGCAAGGTACGAATGAGGCACTGCTCGCATTTCTTGTTGCAATAAAAAAAGTAAACTCACTCGATTGCCTAGTTTCACTTTGTTTACATCAGACGACTGTTGTTCAGCACTAAAAAAAATCAGTGAAGTCACTTTACATGCGAGTTGCACGATTTTGCCGAATTTTCGAGTCAATATTGCAGGAAATGTGCACTACTCAGTTGCCCACTAAAAACAACTTCCATCCCTTTTAACTCATCTCCTATCGATAGCCAGGACATTGTTTTTTGTCACGAAATGGTTCAAAATCCCCATGAGGCCATACGATTTGTACTAGTAAGATCAGAAACAAGTGTATGCAGAACTGAAGCATCGAGAAAGTGGCTAAAACTGCGTGGCTCGCATGCGCCATGTATTCTTCCAGAGACGTCAGGTTGTCAGGCTATGCTGCGCAAGTGCTAGTATGCCGATGGCAGCCAAACGAAAGCTCTTGCTGTCCATCCAACGCACAAAACGTGACGCTGCACCCTAATAGGAAAACGCTTGAAAAGTGGCAATAGACAAATGACAGGCTTGTTGGTGAAGAGTACACCTATTTTGGAAAAATGCCAGTGATGTTACGCAAAAATGGATTCTATGCAAACTAATTAACAATACCTTTTCACCCTACTAAAAGAAAAACTAGCCACGCTTCCTAAATAAAAGCACAGAAGTTACTGATGATAGCCCCAGCTTAGGTGATATCGGAAATTTCACACCGACGTTCCAGAGCTGTGAAGTACACCTCTATACTGAAAGATATTAATAGAAAAGTGGAACAACTCGGCCGCTATTACCATTTGGAAACCAAAGGGACGAAAAATTGGTGTTCGCCCTCTAGAAGCTGTGGATTTATGACAGCAGGTGACATACATCCTAGAAAAGTACCTTGCAAAACCGATGAAATCCTCGTGATTGGTGTTGATGTAGGCAAGTTGAATGTCCACCAGGAGGCATATCTTGTCGCGGGCGTTCACCTGTCTTTCCTTAATACGTTCCGTCACAATACGCTCGGTTGCATCGCGAAGGTGTGGAAAACACTCCATCTGCCGAGAGAGACGTTAAATCCACCATCTACTCTCGTGCTCATTATTTATAAATGTATGCAACATCTGCTCTCCCTTTTCCACATGGAGAAATCGCTCGTCCATTTGAAGATTTGGCTTAAACGTTCGAAGAAATGAAGGCAAAGTGGATTTTAGTTCAGGGTGAAACATGTCACCGAAATAATAATAGTAAACATGAATTGTTTAGGAGTAAGAGTTCGTGGAATCCCTATTCATCTTCAAAAACAATGGTGAATTAGCATGGGGATGCGATTCGGTTGCTCCGAAAGTCAGTCATAGCAAGCTCAAACATCAAAACAACATACCAAAAGTCACGTTGCAACAGAAGACGGACGTTTCACCTTAAAATATCCAATCAGATAATACTAACATTAAGTCATACTAGTACCATTTATATGGGCTCTCACAATAGTAGTTTGTGTCAAACATTTGGTCTTCAGACCAAAAAACCGCCTGCTTTAGTGCATAAAAATTTGGAACTACGTCAAACACAGAATTGAATTGCAAAGATGCTAAAATGACAGCCGACACAAGGCAGATGCTAAGTTCTGTCATCTATACTGCGGGTTTCCGATACGCTTCTGATCTAAGTCACTACTTACACGCGTCTGTGCTCTATTACGGTTTAATGCACTTGGATTACAACACAACTATTACTTTTAATATTTAACGACAGTGGATTAAAAGTAAGCAATTCGAAAAGCTAAATTGATGGAAGTGTTTAAGGTTCTTTATGGTAAAAGATAGCCAAGGGTGGACAACATTCTCCAATTACAATAATTTCCACTGTGTGAAAGGAAGAGCGTATACGATCCAAACTCTCAGCTCCATGCAAATGAAGCAACTTCTGTTAGTTCTTTTACGGTAACCAGAAAAAGTAGGCTATTTAGCAACTCTCACTAAAAGGGACTCTTAAACGGGCATTCGCCTCCAAAGTATTTGCGAGGTACGTGTCTATTGAGAGCGTGAGGGCGAGATCGCGCGCTGCATGCCCACCAATCGTGGATGAGGGGAGGGGTAGAGGCCAGAGGCCATTTTTGGCGATCAATAAAGGAACAGACGGACGAGAGCGGACGCGTACGATCGCTTGCTCAACGCTACGCCCAGTGAACGCGCATAGCCGTAGGGCTGGCACTAAGACCAAATGTTGCCATTGGTTGTGGCAATTCGCAGTCCCAGTGATGCAAGAAAATCGAACCAGAGAGAGGTAATAGTAAAAGCTAACTTGTGAAGAGCTATAGAAGATATAATTTTCTGAAGAAATGGAAAATATGTGAGACGGTAAGATTCGTTACCCTACAAACGCTAAATCGGTAGTCATATAGCATTAGATAGTTCTGTAATTGAATGGGGACAAATGAATGAGAGTCGATGAGGGTTCGACACGGTATGTCCGACACTGGTAATCGCAGCGATGTCCCATATGAGGGCAACTTGCCGCGGTTGCTACTTTAAAAAGGTAACGCTACCTCTTGTGAGGATGAAAAGCGTGGAAATAGGAAAAGCTACTAACATCGAAATAATCGTGCGTGTTCATGAGAATTCAAAAGTGTTAGATCCGTATGAGCACCCTATAGTAACCATTCGACGCAAATGGAAATTTGTTAAGCAGATAACCACAAATTGAGAGTGGAGAAGTAATCAACCCAGCGCAACATAATTAAAACTTCGACCAAAAACAGTTAGGATACAAATGGAATAAAGGAGCATGGAAACTGCACAAAAATTGGTATTGGACGATCAAAAGGAGACCCAACCTTGTTGGTGCAGTCGTGTACAATTTGAATCAACTCCTCGACAACCAAGTCGACACAGGTCAGTGAAGGATCCTTCATACGTTCAATTTGTTTACGGACGATTGTCTCGAAGGCCAGGTCGGGGGTAAATAGTCCAGAGCTATAACGCAGACCAGAGGATCAGTTCTTGCATAAAGAATGCCGTAGCTACGATTATGAGCAAGAGTTCAGTTGCCAATGTGGAGAACTTCTTCCAAAAACTTTCTTTGTGGAGTCAAAAGGTATTCTTGTTAAAATTTTGCCGTGAACAAAAATGCACGTAACAACGATGTCAAAAATAACTGCATATGCTGACCTATTTGTGAGAGTAGTTGGTATCGAAATCAAAGTTAACCTGGAATTTTAATTCCGCCTTTGCTTAATTTTATTTGATTACCATTGAAGCATAACTGCAGTTTGAGTAATGATTGCAGCCGTTAACAGAAGCGAAGATGGTTCCAATCTCCCAGTTATTCACAATAAACTCACCGAATTCCATGAATATTGCGAATAGCAAAGCTAATGTCCCTTCGTAACTCCTCGCCATCATTGTGAAGCTGAAAAGAGAAGGGAACCGGAGTGCTCCGGCACACGCGAGCAATAGACACATTTCCTATAGGTCAGTTGAAAATCCTATAATCTCAAGGGCCCGCCACACTTCCCTACCGCCATCCTGTTTTAAACTGATCGTATCTAGTATCCGCTCCAAGTGTATTCAAGGAGGTTTGGTGATGTAAGCAGTGTTAACGTTCTTTGCCGGCATTCTCATATTCGATAGGTTGGTGAGGAGGTATCAAAGCAAATCTCATGCTTACCATGGCTAGGGCGTAGGGTAAGCGTTCTGTGAATATGCGATTTATTCGAGCGCCTCTGGATAAGGTCTTCGTGTCAATCTCCGATCCTGATCCGTCAATGGTTTGCGTAAACTCAACTTCGAAACTCTTTACAGCGCTTGAGAGATAAGAGCACCAAAACTTGAAATAAGCAACGATTGATAAGGAGTTTAGTTTTATTACTCATCACTTTAACTTATTATTACAAAATGATCTCAGATGAAATGACCGAATTCCAACCACAGGTTGTGGATATGTGGGAATGCTGATGACGGTGTAGCAAATTAACTTGTTCAAAAATCATGCACGAACTCTGTGAGGCAAGTGACAAAAAACCACATGATCCATTTTCACTAGCCAATCTTTTGAGCCAAGTTCCAGAGCATAGTGACATGCTCTAACATTAATAGGGTAAATTAGGCTGTAACGAAACTATTTGTTAAAACTTAATTATGAATAAGATAAGAACTATTTCTGGTGCAGAATAAAAATGTGATCAACCCAAAATTTCATTTTTTTGTTCGTTGAAAGTATTATGCTAAGTTCACCATGAAGGAAGCGTAAACCAAAAATAGTTGTACATTACTTGTAATTCATGCTATAACTAAAGCATTCTGAACAAAGTGAATAGATATTTGAATATAAGCGCCATACATCATTAAAGCCTTAGTCTTGAAAGAAGGATCAGCAGGCTGATAGGCTTTGTATTCTCTAACTTCCTTTTCCATTGCCAACATTTGCGACTGAAGCTTGTTTCGAAGGCCAGGTAATGTTTCTCGAATGTGGTTAGTCAGCTGCTGATTGAGGACACGCTGCAGGTACGGGGTGCCCATGCGATCGGCCATGTGACGGTAGGACGGATGGCTAAGGAAGAATTTTCTTTCTGCAGCCATGGCTGTAGTTATATCTTTTCTGCCCTCAATGTCCTTCTGGCTCCTGTTCACGACGCCAATATAACCTTAACGCCGAGTAACCACGCTTTTACAACGTATTTATAGCCGTGTAAGCAAAAAAGGTGAGTCAGGTTAATACACCTATTTGAGGAATACAACTACATCATTTACTAATGGAAACATCTTCTTTTATGCAAAGTACAATTTGAGTCCAGTTTAATAAAGTCAAAACAAACGTAATCATTGCTACAATATAATTATCTTTTTAAGGTGGGATACTGACACAGATAAGAACACTGAAATATTTAGGATCCTGTTCTTTATAATAGTAAACATCGGAATCAAAAGACTGATTGAAAATTCTAGGCTTGAATAAAAAAGGGTCCCCAAAATCGTGAAAAGACTACAAGGCAAAACGCACCTCTTCTCAAAGGCAGAAGCTTGTTTTCCAAAACGTCGCGAGCATCAGTTCCATGATCCATCAGATCTAGCTTTGTGATCACACCAATGGTACGAAGCCCTTGAGGATCAACCTCTCGAGCAATCTTTAAGGCGTCCGAATTCGCCAAGTCAGAATTGGCTGGAGAAACTGCCAGTATAAGGCAGTAATCACAGTTTATATACTGAAGGATCATTTCCTCGATTAAAGTGGATATGTCTGAGGGCTGGTCACCCACAGGGACTTTAGTCATCCCAGGCAAATCGATGAGGGTAAGATTAAGAACTAAAACGATGAAAACAGGTAGTTCGGTGAAAACAGCATAACTGTTCAGCGTGGATTGTGATAAAAACAATCCGCCATGCATAACACTGTACAGTTAAGCATTACAAACTATCTCCAAATTTAAGCTCAAGAACTATATGAAAATTGCGCCCCAATAAGGGCATAGTATACAATTACTCAAAATCTTAGATTCGACCGAATCCTCAGCTTTGGAAAAATGGAAGATTAATCTAGAATCCACCAATACATAAAATGTCGATAAATAATGCGATAATAAAGTTCATTCTTTACCATTTGGTGAAAATACTTTTAAGTTTATGGGTTTATTCGATATTCCCTTATTTGTTCCTGTTTCTCTGTCAGTTTCTGCCTCGATTTCCTTGCGGACCTCATCAAAGTCGGTCAATCTCACACCGCTCATATGCAAAAATTCGGCATATTCTAAAACGGATGATACTTTCATAAACCGCACATCTAACCTGTGTCTGACGTAATAAGTTGGAGGACCAAAGGCCTTCTTGTAACTATACCACTTCCGCGAGGTAAAAAGTCTCTGCACGTTACATGAGTCCGACCATGCACTTACCTTCCGACAAAATTTTCTAATACACTGCTTTTACCGGCACTCTGACTACCGACAACGGCGATCTGAGGCAAATCCAAATTAAGAGGTACTCCAAGAGACGAAAACGCATCCTGGAGTTTGTTTACAAGAGGAATGAGTCGCTCCATGCCCACATTACCGGGCATCGTTCGCAGCCCTACTTACATCCAATTCGACACTGCCACAAGGTTCATTGTATTTGATAGATGCGAACAAATATCAAGACATAATTTAATATCACGTATGCGCTCAAATAACATTACAATATTTGCGATTTTTTGAAGCTTTGTTATTTTTAAATATTAAAGCCCAAACATCTTTAAAATACACTGTGGTTTTTTGTGCATATAGTTGTTTCCAAATATATTATTAATTATTATTACTTAATAAAAACCTTTTTGGGTAGTCACTTACTTGACAATGATAAGACGAAATATTTGCCAATTTTGAATGGCCATTTTGAAAATAAGACATGGCTGGATACTTGCTATCTGAGGGAAAGCATGATAGGGCTTCAACATGTCCCAAAGGACAGTTCCGCTCAGCAGAGTCAAACGGTTACAAAACTGGTCATCAATCTCATACAAGAAGACAGACATTATTGCCACCCAAATTAGGTTTGCGCTGCAATGGCGCCCGTCTTTTGCAACTCTTTCTTTATGTAACCACCTGTACTTTTTGCTGTCACTTAGGTACTCGCCTTTCTCTTTTGCGCATGGGCTAACCTTTAGGCCAACCCAGAGTCCAATCTCTTCAAACCTCAGAATACATGTACTCAGCCAAATCTAATGACTTCTTTTACCTAGTGAACTCTCGAGGGCGATGTGACACACAACGCGAATTAATACTTAACTCTGACAAAGGAAAGAGACGCCTGCTTGGAACAGCTATTAAGTCCACCCATTCGACGGCGCCCTCTAGCTCCACAGATCCGATTGTGAAGTGTTATAGCCCCAATCACATTATCAATACTTTTAAATTGTAATCCCAGCTGTCTGATTGTGATGATGCATCCCTCAGAAGTATCTGAAGTGACTTTTAATCATGTGTAACCTTGTCCTAACTGATGTTTCACAGCCCCAAGTTGTGTAGAACATTAAAGTGGTGTCTCAAGGCCCCACTTGCGGCGGTAAAATGCGTGCATGCAAACAAAGGGGATGACCCAGGGACTGTCCACCTGTTGGAACTAGCACAGCCTCCCAACCAAACGTGGCGTCACCACAACCACAGCGCAAGAATCAATGCTTCGTGTTCGACCAACAACCTAACATTCATGACCTCAAACCGCACACCACACTCAAACAATTCACTTGATTGTCTGGCCGCTATTTGAAAGTCACTACGATTTGATCAACCTTGAGAGGGACAAACTAACATTGCTCGCGCCTCAGTGTGAGCACTAGGATGACACTATATTCGAAACCTACCACTTCAACGATTATCACGAAATTACATCCCTCAGCGCAACTCCAACGCAGGGATGACACCTCCATGTCGAACTTAGTCCCTCTTTAATTACCGTATTTTGAAATGCAACTCATCAACCTTAGCTACAAGCTTACAAACGTAAGCAGCAAATACACACTACCACATGGAACGACTAAAGCATACCCACAATTCTACTCCAGGCAACTTCGAAAAGCTAAGTCCAAGGACGTTCAATGTAAAAACATCAAATCGGAATTTTCATCATGAGAAAGCCTACCCAATGACTCAGGCAAAGTGGTAGCTAAACCACAATCTTGGCCCTTGCGCTTGCATTGACCTACACTGAGTCACTACCATTAATACAAAATCCCAATCCGTTGTGAAATAAAAACAGCAAACTCCGATTGTAGGTTTTCTCCATTGTCTGTGTGCACGCAAGTACAAATTTTGATTTGCCATGATGAAGGAGAGCCGGAAGTTAAAAGATACGCCGAGATGGAAGTAGGGGAGTTTATAAAGGTACCAATACAAATTATACAATTTTCCAAGTATATTATTCGCATAATACGACACAAAGAGAACCTCGCCTCCAGGTCAAGGTGACATTGCTTACAAACAACTCAATGTCATACTGGGCTCACATGCGTCATCGGAAGTAGCTCGAATGCTTCTTTAGTCAACACAGTGCTCTCAACCACAATTTGTAAAAGGAAAGCGAAAAGTATCCCGAAAAATGAATGAATACATGAAGTCCTGGGGCCGCAAATGTTAAAGCTAATTTACAACAAATCATTACACGGACCTGTTCGAATATACACAGGTGGAACTTCTAGATTTTGCAAGGGAAATAACGAAACGATCCTATACAGTGCACGAAAATGACACTATGACAGCGAGAATGAAATGGATATGCACGATTTCACAAGATGTTAGGCCTCCACTGGTTCCGAAACTACTGACTGATTAGCTATTCCCGTTTCGATTTCCACTGTTTGGTTCCCATCCTCAGTTGAGGCATAGTGATTTTCTGATGCAGTCACATGATGCAAAAACTCTGTCTGAAGAGGAGAAGGGTGGGAATTCTCATCAGCCGTCACAACCGACCCCCCAGTCGGTAAATTTGAAGATTCAGTTAAAGAGGACGAGGAGTGGAGACTTGCATTGTCTAACTCCTCCGGTGGAAAATAAGGAATGTGACTGCTACTAACAGTCTTCGAATAGTATTTCTCCATCTTACCGATAATGTGTTTCCCATATGTGTACTTACGGAGGCTGTTGATGTAAGGTCGGATGCGCGCCATCAGCTCCTTGCGAATTGGCGGCTCCGCTACATCAAGCATTTTCTGTATTACATAGTTGGCGAACTGATCTTTCATCATAGTCCATAGAATTGAGGTATCTTCCCTTTCATCCAGACACTCCATTGCAGTGACTTGAGTTTGACTTGAATCAACATTCTCCAGTACCTCGTTGATTAAAGCCTGTCTCTCCTGACGACTAGCGTTAGTAACAGCTTTCTCAACAACATTACTGGCGAATTTATGCACGGAGAGGGCAGCTACGCGTCCTCGAAGTCGATCAATCATGCGACTCTTCTCCTCCGTTCGACCGTGTTCAAATATATGCTGAGAGGAATCGAAGATGTCAGGCTTGGTAAAGGGTACAACCAGGCAGTAGCGGAGTCACCGGAGGGGTAAATAAGCATAAATGAAATAATGCACGACTATGACCGGAATGAGTACTTATGAGAGGGTAAGGCATTAAATAGACCAAACCAAGTCACAAAATTCAAGACGTCTAGAACGACTAGCAATATTGTGCATATATCATTGGAATTTGTATACGAAAAAACCGGTAAATCAAGCACCTGAATAACATAATTTCCATACTGGTCCTCGAAGAGGGACTCTGCGCACTGATGCAGCTCTTCTAAAATTGGAGCCGTTTGTTCGGCACTGCAGTGCTCTAGAATGCGTTGAATCACACGACAACCATACGAGTGTGTTGAAACTGAATGCACCTAAAAATGTCAAAGCATATACGATGGACAGATAAGGAAAACAACGGAACGAGTGACACTTACATTCCCTTTGAAGGCGTCAACGATGAATTGAAGGTGCTCAGAAGGAACATATTCAATGCACTTTTGAACAACGTGGTTGCCGTTCTGGTCCTTCACACATTTCAACACAGATCCATCAAGTTCTCTCATTAGGCTGATTTGCGTTTCTAGGTTGACAGACTCAATGGCCTTCTGGATCACCCGACACCCATACATCTGAAGCGAAAGTGTCAGCACTTGCCCTTTGATTTGCTGCACCAGTATCTGAAGTCACGAGGATCGAGTGCATAAGATACAACAGGTTGAATAATGATATCCCCATAATCTCACGTGAACAATATATAGCTTAAAATCATAACTAGGAATTGCAAGAGGTATGATTCTTGTTAAGATATAATGGCAATTTACCATATGGATGAAATGGTAAATATGCGCAGATTTTGTTGAGCAACAGAAAAGCGCTAAAGTCAATGCGTTGATAAGTAAGTTCGACAAATTCTGACAACAATAACCAGTCGAGAATAGGATTTCGCTTGATGTACTTTTAGTGGAGTTACCCATTTCGAAATTCGCACCAAACATGTGAAAATATTGATACCGGTATTATGGTGGTTTTCACTTTAAATTTGTCAGCGAACTCAAAAAGTCAAGGAGTAGCATCCCCTTGGGTGCCTTATGTAGCAGTCATGCTCGATCTGTAACGGGGATAGACGATCGCCAAAAGAGCGATGAAAATATGCTACGAATAAAAAAAGCACAAAAAACCTATGGTATATAACATCGTAACGAGACAAACCCTTTTTTGCTCAGGAGTTCCAAGCTCGAAGAACTTTTGAATAACGTAATTGCCAAAGACATCCGTCATAAGAATGTGGCAATGAGGAATGACCTCGCGAAAGACGGCAGTCTTATCTACGGCACTAGCTTGCTCCAACTTTTGCTGAATGAGTCGAGAACCGTACTGATCCTGCGCAAACTCCACCATGTGGCCCAGCAGATCGTGAAGTGTCAGAAAAGACATCCGAGTAAACCTTTGAAGACAAAATGGAAAATTAGCTAAACATAATACAAGGCATCAAAAAACTACTAGTTAATCATATGACAAATTATAAATACAAAAAGTTTCATGTCTGTAAGCTGAAAAAGCCTCCTTAACCATTAGTTTTGAATAAGTCACGCGTTGCGAGTATGTCATAAATGACATCGAGAAAACCGATCCACAAGATCGTGGGGAATCAAGAATGACATCAAGCTTCAATTTAGTAGATTGATAGTATGTTTACAAATATTATAGCGCTAATTTTATGCATTCTAATTCCAATTGCACTCAAAGCCATATTAAGGCTAATCATTGTATATGGCCAAATACGGTTCGAGTAAAGTTTAACTGATCTCATATTTGCGGCTGTATACGTTCATAAAAGGATAAGCGACCTGTAATTATAACTGCTGGAAATAAGTAAAATTAAAGTACCTCGAATATACAAAAACAATTGTGAGTGGTACCAACAAACCTATAATCCTCCAACAAGCGACTCCGTTCCGACATCACTGAAGCTGAGACAGCTGGAAAAACCCCTGAAACCGATGATGTCATCGCAGGAAACATGGTGGGCGTTGGGACAGACTGTGACACAAATGGCAAACGACCACCAGAGCTGGCACCACTAGTGGGACCAAAAATATTCATAGCTTGGTTTTTGAAAAGTAAAAGTCTTTGCTGATTGCCAGGCTGAAGACCCCTCAGCCCTCGGGGAGGCACTGCAAAGAAATTAGGACTCTCCATTAGATGTGGTCGACTGAAGTGAGGTCTACGTTGAGATGCTGACGACGTCGATGACGGTGGAGTGATGAAACGACGAGGAAAGCCCAATGGAGGGAAGCCGGATGGGAGACCCTGGGGAGGAACACCTAAATCAGGGGTGGAAGGGGGGATCGGCAGGCATTCGGTAGGAGCGATACTCGCGTTTGGAAAGGGAGGAGGTAACATGGGAGCAAAAGGAGATGGAGTGGTGGTATATTGTGATGCTGGAGTGACAGCACTCTCAAAACAGAAGTTTACGCCCATTGTCGGGGTGAGAGGTAGTCGGGGGTCAGACAATGAAGACCGCTGTGTGTGTAGTTGTTGCTGCTGTTGATTTATTGGAAGTGCAGAAAGTCGGGAAGGGACAAAATTAGGGTGATGCTGCTGTTGACTGAATGGCAGTGGCGGCAGCTGTTGTACCATAGTTGAACCAGAAGGAAGAATAGTTGTTGCCAGACCATTACCTCCACCATCACTGTAAGCCTGATTATAGACAATATTGGGTTAAAAAATACATCGTAAAAATGAAGTCGTGTCTTTAATCAGTTTGATACGCAACCCCAAACGCTACATTAATTTAGGTTGGAATTCACTTGATTACTGATATTACGGAACGGTAAACGTTGAAATGGGAAACAAAGACGTAACTACATTGTTAACCTAAAAATCATAACAAACTTAAACTCACGGTTTCAATGACGACGCCGAACTACTACTTAGAGAAAAGAACAAAAAAGCGCCATCTCATCAACATCAATGAAGGCTTGTGCTAGTGAGACTTCACCACTAAGATGCACACATTCAGCATAATAGGAATGTGCAAGACTACCAAACAGCCTCAAAGACTATGAATAACCAGCCGGAGCAACAAATCACATGATTGTTCAAGTTGACAACCTCGAAAACTGCGCTAATCTGAGTTAAAGCAATCGCACAGAAGCATTATCCTGAACGCCACAGGCGCTTCAAACAATCACATTTAAGTCAATCGAATTTGCGACGCATGTATTAAAAAACACCGCCAAGTCAAGGATCCGAAAAAATTGATTAGGAAGGAAACAAACCTTGAATTTCTCAACATTGTATTGCCCCTGAGACAAGGATTCGCTTTGATTTTGTGAATGTGATTCATATGCACAAGGAGCGGTGATAGATCCTCCACTCACTGCACCGCTAGCAGGAGAAAGGTTGGATGGAGGTGCCGTTATAGACACCCGCGGCGCAACTGGTGGAACACCACCATTCATTGCTGCAGCGAGCAACTGTGCGTAGTAAGCTGCCTGCTGGTTCGCAAGTGCGGTCTGGACGCCAACTGGTGTATCGTTGGACTGAACACTAGGTGTGCGAACACCTTCGGCGCCAAGTAACGACAGCGGTGGTTGTGCCGGTGGTGGCCCACGATTGTCGAAGGGAGTACCAGAAAAGTAGGTGACAGGAGAGGCTTCACTTTGAGGTGGAGGATAAAATCCAGTTGGCATCTGGTCTGCTGGCATGAGGCAAGAAGTACCATTGATTTGGACAGGCGGACCATTAAAGGCACCAGATGTGAAGTTGGCAGTAGGCATTGGTCCAGCAAGGTCACCAGGAACACTGTGAGTAAAACCGTTGGTGAAAGAACTAGTTGTAGTGGGAGGTAAAAATGATGGAGCGGTTGTTTGCTGATGTGGATCCACCCGCATTGTATTCATCTGAGCGGCTAAAAATAAATTGATTAACCATTCCATGTCAATCATACCACTTCTTTATTTGAGTACACATGCATAACAACTCAGTCGCACATAATTTAAAGCCCGAGTTTCCGTCTTTACTACCTCGCAGAAACGATAGAAATTTTTACTAGTTCGACAATTGGCTTACTTTTTACCAGGCACCAACTGGTTGGATGAAAGTAAGCTTTCCAGTAAACTAACCAAGCAATACTTTACCCTGAAGTTAAACCCTACACGGCCCTGAAACCAATTTCGTAGCCTTCTATCTAAACTCTGCTGCTAAAAAAATAACTATGATTATATCACCAAAACAAAAAAAACATACTTAAAAACGCAATATCTCGAGGCATAGAGCTGTTTTGTTGAGGGCAAGCATTCTGTTGATTTTGAAGTGTATCAGCTTGAGCAGCCAGGTAACGGGCTAAATTGGACACTGCAGCAGAACTGTTAAAGACGGAGGCGACAGCACTAGGGTCCATAGGAGGTATGGGCGTCTGAGGCAATTGAGTCTCCTCCATCCTACTCTCTCCACCGTTTGCTACGAGGGTCAAAGGAAGCGAGTTTAGCGTCTGTTCCGCTGGAGCATGGTATGGGGAAGATGCTGCCTGATCTGCTGGCACGGAGTGGAAATCCGACCGAACTTGTGACGAAGGAAACGGAGAGGCCATGTTATCAGCAGAAGAAACTTGAGCGTGAGCGGATAGAAATTGATCACCTGGAAAAATTTACCAATTACAAGTCGCAGCCACGAAGTAAGATCCTACCCTAGTTATGCAAGGGAAACCAAAACAAGCACCAAAATATCGCACGGACAAAGCTTATTCTGTCCGAAATTACAAGGAAAAGGAGATTTGCGCTCAAAATCATGCAGTTGGAACTCAGAAGAAAATCGCATAGGACACGTGAACTTCAATGTAGGTAGTAAAGATCGCACATTCCCAATATTTGTAGTAATTGTGAAATCAAGCTAAAGATTCAGGCGCGACACCCATGTTCACAGCTAACGTTTTCACCAAGGGAAAAAACCACAAAACCAAAAGTAATGGCTTTGCAAAGTAGCATATTCGAGCACAAAACGTGAGAACGAAAAAAAATAACAAAGCACCTAGAGTACTCACAGGCGTTGTTTGGCGAGTTACATAGGACGTGATCTATCATTTGTTGGCCTATTTCAGTCATATCCTTGTTGACAGGAGACATTGGTAAGCCCCCACCATAATTAAATCCGACATTTGATAAGCAATTGTAGGGTGCTTGAGAAACACGAGTAAGGGGAGTATCACGCTGCGAATCCTTTACTACAGCAGGTTGGGGAAATGCGGAAGTGCCAAAACCCCATATGCGGGATGATTGAGCGTTCGTTACGTTCAGCGGGCCGTAAGAACTATCCCATATGGATTTTGAGTCGTCGAATGGTATTTCTCCTGGCCGTCTAGGTGTATGTTTCAGGTCTGCAATTGAAGGCTCCTCAGTGGCTGACCACTCATAACTACCGCCATTCCCTGAGGTGCAAAACTTTTGTGACCCATTGCACAATGATGGCGCTTCAGACTGCTGAACGTCACTGTAAAAGTGGGAAGAATCTGCAGTTCCGCCTGCTTCAGTGGAAATGCATGAAAACGGTCGACCAGGAGCATTGGGGTCTGTAAACTCATTCATAGCAATCGCACAGCCTTCCCGGCGAACCAAGGGACAGCTAAAGCCACAAAATTTGAGAACCACATTAACTAGCACCAACACCTAAAAGTCGACTATTAACCAAATAGGTTCAGTAAATGCACCGCAACAAAGAAGTCCAATTCAACGTAAAACAAGAAAGCAAGATAAAAAGCAAAGGGAATAAAATAACGCCAACCATGTGAAGCATATCTAGGCAAAGTGCATGGATTTAGTAGCAAAGCACACTATACGATAATTTGATATCGAGACAGAAAACCAGGGGTCCATTGACAGGAAATGCATCACCTTGGAACCCTCCCCTTACCCCATGAGTGAGAAGTGAACAAAGGAGATAGTGAGATGGCTCAGCGTAGAGCCGAAAAGTCAACATGAAGCGGACATACCACCATAGATGTTAAGCGTAGAACGCCCAATGCCAACAGCGAAAATGGCGGCCAGCGGCCTAACGAAAGGATTAAAACAACCGCTTTACTCCGCAAAGGTCATGACCAACTTGAATGGTTTCACTATAAATAAAAACTAAATGCTGATCTTAATATTTCTGCCAAATATGCCTTAAATTTCTTATGGATTAGTGCCAAAACCTGTCTGTAGGCTATCACGAATTTAAGATGGAATTAATTATCCACTCTACATCCTACTATGCTATTGTTCTGCTTTAATGTGACATAAACTTGCTGCAAAGTCTTTAGTTTAGGCCCAAAAAACATGCGTAATTTATTAAGCTCGACTGGCAGGAAATATGTGTTTTGAGTGCGCTTATCACTTTGGACCTAGTTTCCTGGCTTCGCTGGTATGTGGCGTTCTCCTTTCTCCTGCTATTCACAGTGTCCCTCTCTGAATTCTGGTATTTCTCTTACGGCGTCACGCCGTTCGGCTTGAAATCCGCTGCCCTGTTGTCTTTGCTTAAAATGTTTTACCTTCCGAGCCAGTTGTGATTCGTTTTTATTTCGTTGAGAGTCAATCGTGACGTCTCGGATGCCCTTGCCGCTGTTAGAATCAAATCTTGTGACTTCATCTATTGTTATGGACCTTCAAATTCTTATGCTTCTTGTTGTGCGATCGAGCAGGAAGTCCACGCTGGGATGTCTCCCTAAATTTAATGACCGTTGCTTGTTTATTATATAAATCTCTAGGTGCTTTGCGACCTACACGGAGTGTGTTTTTAGAGACTATTTTAAATGTTCTACTCACTGTGCGACTTGATTTAGATTTCACAGGTGGAAATATTTATAATTTCTCTGCTTCCAAGCACCACATTTTCTTATAACTGATGGTTTTGTAACAATGGACACGAACTGAACTCTTGATATAAATATAGTTTTGTGCTGGCTATCAGCAGTTTGATCCTTTATAACCGTAGGCATTGTGGCAGCGGTCACATCTGGTGTTCCTCCGAAGTGTTTTTTGGCTGTGTTCTGCTCATCATGCATTTCACTCTTGCTTTCTGGTCAGTCTTCGTATAAGGGATTGTATTTAACCTGAACCCCTTGAGATTTCTCGTCGGTGTTATTTGCGATAAAACATTTTTTGCAGCTCTACGGGTCAGTCTTGTTGCCAAATGCCAAAGAAAGGTATTTCTTACCTATTCTAACTCTTAACTAGACAGCAATTTGAATGAGGATGTGCCGGGGAAGGAATCTTACATTGATAGGTTGTTTTTTGGTACGTCAGTTTCTTTTACTTTCCTTAATTTCTTTTCGTAGGTACATTTGTGGCACTTGACTTTTTATTTATTTTCTCGCACTGGTTTCCTGCTCCGTGAAGCCATAGTCTACGCATTTCGTTTACTGATTCTTTATAGCCTCATATGATATTGATAATATCGTCAGTTTATTTCAAGATATTCTTTATCTGAAACGTGCATATCTCTAACCTGGTACCAATTATCGTTAAATACATTTAGTGTTCAATAGAACAGTCACTGAACTTCGTAGAGTTATAAATAATGACACATGTATCGCTTGTTGGAGGAATCTGCCTCTAAATAGCTTAAACTTCACTCGTTGCAAACATTTTGGACCCTGATTGTACGCGTAAACTAAACCCTAAATAAACAGATTGCGTCCGAATTTATTCTTTTCTTTCGTTTTAGAGACGCTCTCGGAAGTTCCTGAGGGGGAGGTGGGGGATGATCTTTCCGAGATGCCAATCACTATTGATGTGAAGGAAAATGGGTACATTGACCAGTCCTACTTTCAAGAGCCGAGAACCTGCGGGCTTTCCGATTACAGTGACAGCGAAAGTGTCGCTGATTGCATTACTAGTGTCCGCGAACAACTGTCTGTTAACCAGTGGAGTGGAGGAAGTAACTTAGTTTTCTTGATTACCTCTCTTTTTGCCGCTCTCAGATTCATGAAATTGAGCTCTATGATTGTGTAGACTGACGAGATTTGGATATCATGGAGTTTGGTCATGTAATAGTAAAGTCTCATTTAAAATTTAATTTGTTTTTCATTTTATTTAATTTCGTGTTCCCAGCTTAATTTTATCTTATTTCAGAACTTGATTTCAAACACCAAGAAAAACGAGGCTCCAGAGTACGCTATGATTCACGGGGATTTCGCGTACCTGACGACGATCCAATCAAATTTCATCTTCTCACGGAGGACGAAGCAGTCGAGGTTCTTTACAAAAGCATTATTGCTGTTCAGGGTAAATCTCTCCTTCTCACTGCATTCATATTTCACACCTTTTATTGTTGATTGTTGTTTATGAATCAGGTTTTCTTTGGCTATTTGGGACCTTAGGAATAGTAAATCTTCCATGAAAGCATGTACGTGCTTAGGAGCCCAAATTGGTCGTTTCGTTACTCTAGCAACCTGGTTTGCAAGACCTGCTACAAAACGGTTTTACGGTTTCACCCCGATATCATTATTGCTACAAAAATTATAAGCCTAATCTTAGCAATAGGAATTGGTGCATGAAGTCCCACCTCGTTCTTGTAATTTTGTGATTGTCTGTAAATGTAATGGCTTACCATTCTCGAAACAGTTCCATTACGTTCTTTTAAATTTTTGAGGCATTCTTATTCATACTATTGTCACATAGTCGTCACTTCTTTCGAGTTATTATTTACTTAAATTTGACATTCCTTTTTCTCCAGAAAATCTGCTTGTGATGAACAAACCCCCGGGAATAGCTTGCCATGGTAAGTCGCCCTAGTCTGCACATTCCTCTTATTTTGGCTTCGAACTGATAAAACGCTTCTGTCGGCTAAGTTAGAATGTAGTTTACAATGATATAAACCTGATAGACCGTTTCAACTGAAGCCACCGCAAATTTAATCTTTATTTTCGTGATATTTTACCCTGTCTTGGCTAATCTGGAAATTCATTTGCAGGTGGCCAAGGTCAGTACTTAAGCGTGGACAGTCTTCTTCCCAGATTAGCTCGTAAATTTCGACACGATTCTTACAGTGAGAGCGACATGCTCCAATTGACTCACCGAATCGACAAGGCGGCAACCGGTATACTCCTTATCTCAAGGTATCCAATTATCAACTGAGAGGAGTGGATTGTGTTCTTCCCTAGAAATCGAGATACACACCTTAAGCTGACTGAAGCATTTGCCAATCGTTGGATCAGAAAGTCGTACTTGTGCATCACATCGGGCATTCCGCGCCAAAGAGAAGGCAAAATTTATTTGCCCATATCAGAGAAACAAATCAACGGTGTGTACCGGGTAAGTCTGCTTAAGCGTATCTGACGTTTCTCAGATGGTGGCGCATCGCCCGCGTTTAGAGTTGCCAGTAGGCGATGATGTCTTGAGAGATGAAGGAGAAGTGGTAGAAACACGCAAAACGACTAATGCCATCACCCATTTCACTGTCCTTGACAGGCACAATGACACAGCCCTTTTGGAGTGCTGCTCGGTAACAGGTAGGTCCTGTAGATGTTTCTTTGATCGCCTATCTGGCATTTGAGTCTCTATGCCTGGAAGCACGGGCCTATTAAGTCCGTGCTTTAAATCATCTTGAAAGTGGAATAAGCTTATCTTGAGGCATAAAAGTATTCTGGTAGTTCATTAAGTTTAAAATCTGAAATAGTTTGTCTAGACACTGGTTTAATGTCGTCGCGTCTTAGGTTTTTGAAGTATTTCAAATTACCATTTTGGGCAGTGCTAAAGTTTTCTAGTAAATGTTATGTCATGAGTGAACTCAACGTGCCTATTAACAAAGGAGAAATAGCAAAGTTAGGCTCTAAGACTGTTCATGAACGCGAATATAGGCCTTACACGTATAAGTAAATAAATTAACGCTAGTAATGAAGTGTGTTATCAAATGTCATAAGCGAAGTTGCCAATTTTATAAGTTGGAGCATGCGGTCATAAATCCTATCGAGGTCCTGGACTGTGTGAAAGGCGGATGTCTTAAACGCGAAGGTCTTTGTTGACTTATGTATTGGGTACACATACGTGCATAGTGGATATTGGAGCAGTGACTGCCTCTGAATTCCTCCTACACATAATTTAGTGACTTATTGGTAATTGCTCTTCCGATAGTTTTCAGTGGAAAGTGCATCTTCGTTGGATAGTGTCTTAATGGGCTAGACTGATGAGGAACGCGACTAGACACTCTGGAGGTCAGCAGTTAATGAAAAATTCCTGAACATTGTTTTTGAGGAGTAATGACATTCCCAGTGCTATATTGTCGAAGTTTGGAGTGCTGCTCACAATCACCAGGCTAACCATGAACAGAATACGAAGGTTCCTATGCTATAAACCGGATAAGCACTTATGCAGTCTACGTTCATTCAAATCGGAAACGTTTGATTCTTTGCAGTCAGCATGATGTAATACCTCAATAATTGATGAATTTTATCGTGATTTAGAAACTAAATTGATTTTAAATCAATTCCTTGAAAGGATCACTTAGTTGGGTATTATCGTCCCACTTAGGGATCAGAACTTCTCAACACCTTGAGATACTGTGCTTTGCTCTTGCAAACAGGCGTGAGGCATCAGATTCGTGTCCACCTAAGTACGGCGCTGGAGACGCCAATTCTGGGCGATCACAAATATGCACATTTCGGGTATCTAGCACCTCAGCGCCTGTCAAAACGGACTCTTGAAGCTCTAGGAATACGTCAATCGAAGGTACGCCACCTGGGGCTGTACCTGCACGCACACAGCGTCAAATTCGGCAGTGCTACCACTACAGCCATCACGCCCTCCTCCAGCCTGTCATCTCAACCACCACCAGGCTTCTTCACCTTTTTGAGCCGAGAGCGACTTCGCGAAGTGCGCCAGTTCGTTGCTCCCTTGCCTTCTTTCTTCCTCGCTACCCTCAACTGTCTCGGTATTCGCATTCCCCACTCACTACGCTGGACTCGTTTCAAGCTCTTCTGAGCTCTATTGACTCTCTTCTCGTACAATATCAATGCATTTTAAACCCTTGTACGTATGCTTCGGGGTTATTAAGAACTAATGAAAATAAATGAAATTGAATCACTGCTAGTGCAATTGAATACTTTTGTTCTGCAACTGGGTCTCCCAATGGTTTCATTTAAAGGTCACATTTGTTCCATCTTTTGGTGGTTTCTTCAGGAAGAACGTGCGATTTAAAGTTGCTACGTCTCGTGTATGGCCCTTGTTGACTGTTAAGCACAAGCGATAGAGGCGGATTCGCGGGGAATGACGTTGAAATCGACTAAATCCAAGGGAGGCATAGTGGGAAACTGTCAATTTGAAGCCCTGTATTCTCATGGCTAAAATTTTTTTTTCGATCCGTGTTAAGGTATTATCTTCATCCAATCAACTTACCTTTCTGTCTAAACTGTTCATCCATGGTTTTTTGAACGCAGAAGTCTTAATCCTATCGTTGTTAAACCGAAGGTGTACTTCTTTTCCTTAAAAGAATACAAGAGTTGTTGGCAATCTCATTCAAAGGAAATGTGCGCCCCAGGCGGGAGTACGGGTATTTATAACGAAGAGCAATGTTGCCGGTATTCTCAAAATTATTTAATTCACTGTGTACTTGTTTCCTGCCAAATGCGCCCTCTGTATACATTCCAGTCGCTCTTATGTGACACAATATCGGGAAAGAGGAATTGCCCTTCATGTTTGACTTTCTACATTAAGTATTCCGTCACTTAGCTACGGGCAAATGTAGACTAGGTTGTTTGCCCACACACACCATCACCAGGGAGAGTGAAGGATTGGCGGTACAGATCTTTCTACAGATGTCTTTGGTGTCAGAAGAAGACGTAGATGCGGAAAATGTGCAAGCAGCGAGACAGATGTTGGCAGAACGAATATGGGCATGGTGTTCAGAGAGGCACGCTGGGCAGACCCAGGCGCCGGGCGGTCCTCCGCTGCGCTGCCTCACGCAGCTTGATTTGGCGACCTCAGGCCTAAGAGCGTTACCACCACCTCAGGTGTTGGGTGCGCTGCCCTGTTTACGCATTTTGAATCTTGGCCGTAACAAACTGAAATGCCTATGTGGAGGATTGCTGCAATGTAGTGGGCTTGAGGAATTGTATCTTGACGACAACTACTTAACCTCGATTCGCGGGGAACTGAAAAATTTGCACTGTCTGAGAGTGCTTTCTGCAAGCAGAAATTCAATCTTTAGCGCTGAAGTAGGTTTACTTTTGCGATACTTCTTGTCAGTAACTTACCGGTTGACCGAGTAAAACATTACACTATGGGCTTTTTGAGCATGATCACTCCTATAAAACCGTGAGGAATAGAAGGATTGACAATGAGAACCTTCAAGCATTTTTAAAAGAAGACATGTCGGCATAGGATTCCTGCAGCTATAGCATTGACCTTATGTTTAGGTCATTGAGATTTATCTGGAAATTCTAGCCAACTTTAGTCTTGTATAGAGTGCAAGCATTTCTTTTTGCAGGGGCTCTTAGTATCCTCCAAATTAGCGATTCAATTGGAGCTTTAATGCTAATCCGATTTTCACCTGTTTTAAAGGAAACTGTTAATGAATTAAAGCAAATGCATAGGATAGAAGTGGTTGATCTTCGACAAAATCATCTATGCTGCGATTCGACATACGCCCTCTTAATGTGGAGAACACTGCCGAATCTCTCACTTCTTGATGGACGTGGAAAATTTCAGGACTCTGCTTCATTTGCAGCAATCAAACGAACCAGGAAACAGGCGAAAGGCGGCCCAAGGTACCGTTTACAGCATCTACACTTCCCAGGTTTACATCATAATGCATAAGTGAATACCACCTATCCGCTCCGTAGTCTGATCCTTCTGGCGTATAAGCCATATAAATTAGCTCTTAATAGCTTGACAATCTCTTGACGTACAGTTGCAGCAGTACAATAGATGACCCGATCTCCCACAAACATTAACTTTTCTTAAAAAATGTTTGCAGTTCAGTGTCTGTGGAAGTTAACGTCACAAGCAAATAGTTGAACAAAGCTTATCTAACTCAAGGCGTCAAGCGAAAGAAATGTCTGGAAATGCACATGTAATCTTTATGCAATGGGCGGATACAAAGGCATTTTTCGTTTATCATAGGAAAAAGAAGCAGAGCTCAGAAGCCACAGTTTGTGAGCGATTTCACCGAAGCCAGCTACGGAAAGTTTATCTGTCAAAATCCACTCAAACAGCCGTACAAGAAAATACTGAATGTCTGATGCGTAATAGTGTGACTCTGGAAACTCATTCGGACTTATGAAGTTTAACAACATTACAATTTACGAACACGATAATGGCCCACAAGTATGCAGATTTTTTTGCCTTAATCAGATTGGATTTGAAAACAATTCTCGGTCTCTTAGCTGTAATAAATAAATTGATTTGACTTTTTAAGTGGTTATATGGACACTTCAAAGGGTGATCATGGGACGAAGTGAATTTTCGATAAGCCTATACTGCCCTCTCATAAATTTAAATATCGTGCGGAACCAAAGTAGTTTTTAATGTACACTAAAATCACATAACCTTTAAATGGGTTGACGCTGGACAGTCAAGTAGACCTTACACATTTGTGAGTGGAATAATGTACTGTTTCTTAGGCGTACACGTCCTTCCCAAGTTTCGACGATCGATCGAGTCGTATATTTCCAAACTCATCGAATTGATTATTATATTACACATGTGCTACTTTTGGGTTTTTCAGTAGCAAGTATCATTTTAAATTTTATGCATGTGAGGCATTATGACCAAGTTTAACCGTTAGTTTTCCCCATTTTCTACTTATTTGGAAAGCAGTAGAAGTTTTTGCGTAGTCGCTGTAAGGAACAACGATTTGACTCCATTTTGAGTTAGTCCTGACACTTATGCTAACCGAAGAAACTTATCCACTCCACCATTTCGCCACTATAGTAATAATTGCCATTTAATAGCTAAGCCACAAAATCAAACTTTAGCACCAAAGGACTCGATATTTTATCACTGTTTCTCAAATCGACATTTAGTTGATTTACTGAGGGTTAACACCAGTTTTCACTTCCTCTGTGCAAGTTTTACAACCCTCGCGTTTGGAAGATTATATGGGCAAACAACTGACCAATGCCTTTTTTTATTAGGTTCCTCCACTTATGCAGATTTGCACTTTATTAAATTTTACTGCAATTTCTTGTCTGATGAAATAAAATTGGGTGATCACATGCTAAATCGGAATATTTAATTTTGTTTTATATCGAGGCCCATTGGATTGTTTCATATGTAGCGGTATTTTCATTCAGATGCTCTGTTTTACTCATTTCTTTTCAAACTAAATAAGAATCCTGTTTTAGAGCTTCTGCAAGCTTCCAGTTGACAGTCAGTCGTTTTGCTTAAGGGAAGTAGAGCAATACGAAACTAAAGAATCTTACCGTATTTGCCTTAATGTTGTTGCGTGTTTACATGTGAAAATTCTGGTTAGAGTTATATACAGTAAGCACTTTTCTTGCCATTAAAAGGCAGCTTCGGCATACCTATTAACAAGGCGTTACAAAAGGCGCCCTCCCTTGCACAAGTCAACAGGACAAGGTTAAAAGCCGAGTCAACAAAACAGATCCATTTCCGGCAACGCTGTAATCATTTTTTAATGTTGCCACAAGAAAAAATCGGCATACGTTCAGTGTGCTTTTAAGGTTCGAGTCATTTTATCCTCTCAGCTGAATTGTGCTTGGGAAATTCTAGCCTGATCTTAAGCTAAATACAACAAATAACCCGAACTTCCCGAAGCAATTCAAAGATGACTAACTAACCTTGTAAAACCATAAAATCAGTATTTTCTTGGAAATGAAGACATTCAGCAGATAAAAGTATGAAGCATTTACTACCATACAATAGCTTTATTAATTGCTGATCCATTTGATCGGCTAAGCTATTCGTCGGTCGCGTGAACTGAAGCACATGTTACGATCACTAAGCGCCGGATTTATGGGCCACCATTCCATCGCACACTTGTATACGGTCGCACCAGGTGGGCTGTTGGATCAAATTTAAACGCAGACAACCTCATCAAGGTCTAAAGCTCTCTCATTCAGTGCATGACTCCACTTAGGGAGTGTACGCAGGTAAAAGTAAGGTGCAAAAAGGGACATGAGATGAGTGTCGGTAGGGTGTGTATATTTTCGTTGAAGCTGGCAAAAGTTGAGCCTCTTAAGGTCAACAAGACACGGGACTTGGTGTCTAAGTGGATTAGCCACACGGCATCCAACGGTCTGTGGAAAGTAGGTGGGTAGATGCTATTGTAAACCCTTCAGGTCAAAGAATTAGTGGAACACGAATACGCTTACTCGTACTTCCAACAAATTGGCAGCCTTTTTTTATACAGATGGCAAAACATTGTGGCTGCGTAAACACTTGTTTAACTATGCTCAGAGGTAAAAAGGGTCTTCGGCTTGCTAACCGCCTATTGGGTATATGTAATGGCGTTTGTGAACCTACTAAAGTCTTTAAGTATTCCACCTGAAAGGCCTTACCCACTCTTTTGCACAAGCAAGACCGCGATCTCTTACGCATTTAGCATTCCCACCAGACTTAGTATTTTCCTTCGTGGAATTTTTTCCATCTGTTATAAAGTTGCATCCTATTTGTGCAGCATTGTAAATTGCCAGCAATTTCCGCTTTCTATTGAATCTCTTGATGACTCAGATTATCTCCCTACCCATTCACAGCGAGTGAAAAGTCCACGCACGCACATGCTTCCACGCGGGAGGCGAAGGAGGAAATGTGAGGGAAAGGGAGGACGATGGGGGAGAAAAACTTGTTTAATGACTGCCTTCCCCACTTCTCCTCGCCCTATCGCCTTTGAAATGCCAGTCCTTGCCTGTTGACTGTTGTGTGTTGTGTTTAATAATTGAATCCTCACGGGCTCTCACGCACGCAAGCAAGCGTGTGAGAAGAGCTTTCACAAACGCTGGTGACACCAACAGCAAGATCTGTAGCAACAGAAGCGGTGTCTACGATAAAGACACTAGGAAAGGAGTCGCGTACTTCAAAGTCCTCTCATCCACGGGGAGGAGGAGATCAGATTTTGGTTTGAGAGAAAACAACTTTTCTTGCGAACCGAGCGGGGGATTGGAAGGTGAATTGCAGGAATACAGCACCTTTTTGCAGGTTTCTTGAAGTATTAGGGAAGTGCGATGCAATGCCCGAATGACCTTAGGCATTTGACTCACGTACTCTAGGGGATGCTATCGTGGCAAAGTTCTCCTTTCCATTTGCGTTCTTTGTACTGCTTTTGAAAACCTAATGTTGATATCACTCCATTTGAAGGCATTTTTAGGGAATGCAGCATAAATTTCAATACCTTCCAACGACACCTTTCGACAATTTGATGCAAGTTTTGTCCATTAAGTTAGTTACAATCTGCAAGATCACCATGGTAAAATGTGCAAAAGGCATGATCACAGTCGTTTGAAAGCGATGTTCTTTGATCACCAGTCGCGGGATTGACGTGTCTCTGCTAAAACACCGGAATCGTGGAACTACTTCAATCATTTGCTAAGTGCATTGCTCATCGGCATGAGAAAACTGCTTCCCATTTCGGCATGTTTTGACAGAGAAGGGGAGGAGAGAGGAGGGGAGAAGCAGTTGGTGACATTCGAAGGAGTCAACGCATCTGACTGACTGACTTATCGTGGCGCCAGAATTGATGGTCCACGTTTTCCTTCAAATGGCGCTTTCTGCAAACAGTTTTGACGCGCTTTAAAGCGATTTGCAAAGCACCGACAAACCCATCTTTTATGGATGATGATGTTCAGCTAGTGACTTGCCTTGTTTAAGTAGGTGCACCCTATCAAGAATCGCTCTTTGCCCTCTTGAACTAATTGTAGCACATGACCGACTCATAAGTACTGATAGAAGTCAGCAAAAGGGGAACACCTGAAGCCTAAGTGAATATAAAAGCACTTTGACTTTAATGTTGGTAACACGGTCAACTTTGCTGCCTTAAAATCCTGATTGAGGATGTGATTTGCCGGGTTCATCACCTTAACTATTTCCCGTGCAACTTCTGCATCAACCCATTAATATTTTGCACGCATTTGTGCAACAATCTGCATAATTTTATTAGGAATTGCATATTGTCCTTTAAAAGGAAACTGTGGACATTTGCAAAAATGCGCTCGACATCGTGGCTCAATTAATTTTTGATGCAGTTTTAGTTACTACATGCGAAGAAGTGTGCTATCTTTCTCTGCACGAGCCAAAGCGCTGCTTGAATTTACGAGGACAGGAAAAGTCCAATATGCTTTATTTTTTTAAGTCTCTAAAGGTAATCACAAAAAAACTCAAATCTTCATGACTCTGCGAGCCCGAGAAGGGCAAACTTGCGGCATTTCATGAGCCATCCTTCGGAAGAAGCTAAATAAACACACGCACAAAACTTTGCCCCTCACCTGTTCCACGGCTTCGCTGGCCATCCCACCGAAGGTGATTTGTGCGCTATCGTGCTGGCAGTGCGACTAATTAATTCAAATGCATTTAGTCCACGTATTTTTCTTATTGAAGAGAGACTTGAATGGAGGGGAAGGATGAGGCTAATAAGGAGGTGGGAAGGGAAGCTAAGGGAACGATGGCAAGAAAATGACCTCCTCAGTCTAATTTCCCACGATGCATGTACATTTCTCGCGTAAATGTTTATCTAGTGGTGCTCGAATCGTAAACCCTTTTTTACTGTAATTTGCAATATTTATTATAAAACCATAACTCATAATTTTTCAAAGTTATCATATTACTTCGCAAGCCCACTAGTCGAACTACGCGATGTTTACGAACTACTCCTTTCAATTCGCCAAAAAGACAAAGTTGATTGGCATCTAGCCAACAGTAGGTCGAATTGAAGTGTCTTGTTTTCTACATCCAAAGCTCATGGTTGGAATTAAAATCGCCACCTGGGCGGAGGACGGTGCAGACAAAGAAGAGCGACTTGTGACACCTTTGTGTTACTTCGAGGGTGGAACCCTTTCAAGTATCTCCCAGGAATAGACGGTGTATGCGAATTTTGCAAATTGTTTGTTAGAGTGGCAAAAGAGGGAAACCTCCATTTCATGAACTCACATTTTCATATGAGCTTAGAATGGTTCAAATTGCTATTTGCTCCCCGAGAATACCAAGTAAGATCTGGAAATGTGACTTGCGTTAAAAGGAGTTTGATGCAATGGATTAGGAAGAGGTACACAATAGTTGACTTTCCTTTAGCGGTCCCTGTAGAAAATCTCATCTTCAAATTTAACCACA